ACTCGAGATCTTTAATGTATAAGTTTCTGAATTTTGTGTTTTCTTCTTTATTTATATGCATGCAAATTATGATGAAGAAAACAAATTATGTTATTATTATTAAAATGATATTATGTTTGAACCCATTATGGACTTCTCATTATAAAGTCATATTAAGGAGAAAGAGATAATATAGTGGTACATGGAAGGGAGCCTGTCGATTGAATGACATGTAACCGCCATGACTCTTGTTATAGCTGTATCTTTAATTATGAATGATGATAGAACCAATTTATGTAAGGTCTTTTAATGCGCATTATGACTTAAGTATTAAATCACAGAATCGTATGACATCACATGAGTCAAGTGGGAGAATGTTAGAATTAATTTAATTAATTCATTCCATTATGTGACTCATGTGAAATATAATAATGGGCCCAAATGTGATTTAATAAAAATATGAGGACCTATTGGTTATTATGTGAAGTCAGAATAAAATAAAGATAAAATAAAATATTAACTTACGGTAATCAACTTGATGGACGTTGGTTAATTGAATGGAAAAAGGGTTCTGTCTCTGGTCATAAAGTTTTTTCACGGTAAACCATCAAGAAAGCGTGAGAAGAGAAAGAAAGACAAAGAGATAGATTGGGAAAAGGAGATTGGAGAATGAAAAGATGAAAAAGAATAGATTCTCATGGATCAAGGTTAGTGTTCTTTATATGATTCATGTATTGATGTATGTTATATTGTGAAAATCAATAATCTAAAGATCCTGTAGAGTAATTTTCCATAATGAATTAAGAACGTAGGAAAACTACATAATGTCTTACAATCTACTCATTTCAATCCCCCAAGATTCAACTTTCATCTACAATATTATCAAATCTTCATAAATATATTATTATAAAAAAATAATATAAATATAAATTAATAAATAAGACTAGTGCATCACTAGAGATAAGACTAGTGCAGTATTGGAGATAAATAGATAAGCACAAGGCAGGACCAACACCTAACTGAAGATAATTAAAATAGGACCAATGCAGGACTAGAGATAAATAAATAAAGATAAGACAGAACCAACACGTAACTAGAGATAATTAAAATAGGACCAGTGTATGACTGGAGATAAATAAATAAAGATAAGGCAGAACCAACATGTAGTTAGAGATAATTAAAATAGGACTAGTGCAGAATTGAAAATAAATAAATAAAGATAAGTTAAGACCAACACGTAAATGAAGATAATTAAAATAGGATCAGTGTAGGACAAGAAATAAATAAATAAAGATAAGGCAGAACCAGTACATAACTGAAGATAATTAAAATGAGACCAGTGCAGGACTAGAGATAAATAAATAAAGATAAGGTAGGATTAGTACGTAACTGAAGATAATTAAAATATGATCACTGCAAGACTATAAATAAAATAAATAAATAATAGAATAAATAGAATGAGGTTAGGGGCACCTCACTCCACAACTATAATTAAAATAAAATAGATAAAATGATAATATCCTCTTCCCCTACCTCAATATTGTAGATGATACACCAAAATTTGTTCCAAAGTTGTTTATCTTTTCTTCTTCTCTTCTCTCCCTCTCTCTTTTCTTCTCTTCCTCTCTCTTTTCCTTCTCTCCCTTTCTTACCTTTTTTTTTTACCACCTCTCCTCTTTTTATATTAACATTTTTAATTTTTTTCTCATCAATACTTCTTATCCTTTTATTAAATTAATATTATTTTAGTTTTTACTCAATTAAAACTTATCTCTTCTTATACGAAAAGATAAGAAATGTTTTTTTTTACATATTAATAATAATATATAATATAATAATTATTATTATTATTAATTCATATTATATTTATATATTTTAATTGTAATAGTATATAATAATAATTATTATTATTATTAATAATTTCACAATATATTATAATAATTATTATTATTAATTTCACATATATATATATATATATATATATATATATATATTCTAATTGATAATAATTATTTTATTATTATTTATAAATATATTTTTATTATTAATTTTTTATAATATTTTAATAATATATATATATATATATATTATATTTTATTTATTTATATAAACGAGTCTTTTTAAAAATTATTTAAATTACTTAAAATGTTTTTTAACACATTATGTTTAAAGAAAATTTTACATAAATTAATTTTTAGATATTACAATCTTAGTCAAATAATTAATTTTTAGATGTTATAATCTTAGTCCAACGAGGTGAATATATATTAAATAATCAAAAAGTTTTGGTCCATGTATACTCTTATATAGATTTAGATTTTATATATTTTGTATTTCATAATTAATTGATTATATAATTAAGCAAATATTTGATTGTGAATGGTGGTCATTATTTGACATAATGTACCTATTTTGTAAAATTTGACAATTTGTATTTTATGTATGAAGGATAGATATAATCATATTTATAAATATAATAAAAATAATTTTTCATTTTTTATTTTATTTTTAGGTGTCGCAAGAAGTCATCTTGTAATCCTACCCACTATGAATTTCTTAAACAAGTTTAATTCATTAACGTCTAATAAACTTGATATAGGTGAATTTGAAAATGTTTTCGATCATTAATGGACTTCACAAAGTAACGATAGTGAATATTTTACACTTGTATTTATTTTGTTGCATTAAAAATAATAATAATCATGATTTTTCAAACATGATATATTTGAATTTAATGGAAGCATTCTTAATTATTAAAATGGTTACTAATCTATAAATTAGATGGTTAGTTTATAGACTTTTATATAATTAATTACACATTTTTCTTGATAAGTGACTTATTTCAGTTAAAACTTTTAATTTTGAATTCATATTTTTACTCGATACATCGATTTCAAGAACATTAGTTCTTATTCTCTCATTAAATTTATATAAAAAATAATATAAATTCTTTTTATTACTAAATTTCATTATTATTTATTGTTAAAATTTGTTTTTCAAAGAGAATAAACAATATTAATTTTTTTCCGTGGTTTTTTTCCCTATATTTGACACCTTATTAGTATATTTCATACATGATTATTTCGTAACTATCTCGAACTTGATTAATTGAATATATTCTTCCTTTATAAGAATGTAATAATTAAAACAGAATTTAAATAGGTAAAAAATCAATTGTTTGACACATAATTAAATATAGGGTTTTACTTTTGAAATTTGAAATAGAATGTTTTATTGAAATTCAAATTAAGAATGTATTGAGAATAAAAGTACATATATACTAATGTCAATTTTTTCTTTTAATGAAAATGTTCTATTTTGAATTCTTAACTTTTATCGAAGCAATTCTTTCACTACGTTACAAATTAATTAGCATTTGCCTTAAAAATGAAGAGAATATTTTCAAAATAATTTTTTATAAATCCTAAAATAATAAAAACAACCTACGATATGATGTTAGAATTGATTTTTAGGAGGATATACTAGGACTTAGGACTGTAAGCCAAAAAATGTCAAAGTTCTTGATAAAAAGGTAAGTTAGAAATAAAAAGATAAAAAGTTGTTTTTATCTAAATGCAAATGTGTAAAAAAATAACAAAAAAACTGAAAAGGTATATTTTACTTTTTATATTTTAAATCAAAACTTATTTTAGTCAGACTTACAAAATTAACAATAAAATTTGAAATATAATATTTTATATAGTCAGACTTAATCTAATACAAAACTTTATTAGCTTGAAACACATTGATCATGAAAGGTATATTTTATTTTTTTAGATTTTATAATTGATAAATTATAAATATTTAAATTTAATACATATCTTGTTAATGCTTAATATTTTATGGATATTCTTTTTATGATTTTTAGTACTAATTTATCGTAATAATTGATCAACTTTATTTTATGTATATATTTATTTTATTGTTATAATTGATAGTGTTATTTCTAATACTATGTATTATATTTCACTACTTTATGTACAAAAAATATGGATATTCCTTAGTTTATAATGATTAAAAACATTATATTAATATGTTAAATAAAAAAACAAATTTATTTTGATATTTTTTAATGTTTTATATATTAAAAAATAACTGCTTACGGACCAACCATTTGATCCATCACTCACTAAAGAGTGGCTAGGGTTCATCTGCACCCCTATAATTTCTCCCTGCACATCCGTACCCCTAGTCAAATATTTAAAATACTTTCTCATAATTAATTTTTTTTTACTCTAATTTATTCTTCTTCTTTTATTTGTGCACAACTTTTAAACCTCTATGCTTGGTTATTTGATTTTTTTTTGTGCTATCATATTTATTTATTATTATGTATGAATTACATGTTCTTACATTCAAATTATACACACAAACTTAAATTGCTCAATCTAAAAATAGTGTTGCAAAAATGAGGTTGAATTCTAGAAAAATCAATCTGAAAACACATTTTGAAATAGGTATTCTGAAATGTGTTTCCAAAATACATTTCAAAGATGAAGATAAGTGTAAAGATAAAATAAGGTTTAAATTAATTATGGGGGTGCAGGAAAAAGAACCCTGGCTGGGCTAGAAAATTTTGAACATGGACTGTTTCTTTTCACACCCCCACGATTTTACTGTAACAGCTTCTATATATTTTTATTTTGGAAAACCCGGAGGAGTTCAAAAAAATTATGAGGTATAGGAAGTTAGAACCTTAAATCTGATGTCAAATTGGCCAAGTACAGCCCAAAACAATGTTGGTCCATGATGGACTGACCCGAATACACAATACAGTAGGAAGTTTGAAATGAAAAGCAACTAGTACTAGAATGCAGTTTATAAATTGAACCAGTATCATTTTAATTTATTTTTCAGTTTTTACAAGTATATTCATAATAAGGTGAAACAATTTTTTTTTTTAGATTTTGTGCAGCTGTGCAGGTTGCAGACAACTCAAATACACCATCGTCATATTATTTCATCCAACCCAAGGATATAAAAAAGACACCAATATTAGTCACTGGGGTGAAGCAGTATGCTTATAAATCAATTGATACCACCAGTGGCGTGTCACCTTTGTCAAGCACAAATGTCTTGGAAATTTTCTTTGATGGGGACACAACTTGCACATTATATGTTCCACGAAAGCCTCTGAAGTTGTATTGGCCCTGTTCATCAACATGGCCACGGCTGTGAGACAACCACTCTTGTTTTAGAGCTAGGAACCTCTTCCCAGCCTCATTGATGTCACCTTCTGCATTCACCAAGTGTGCATTGTCCCTACTCATAAACAGCTCCCAGAAACCCCACAACATTATGCCTTCTACCGCAGGATGAGCCATCGCTTCACGTAGCATTACTTCAAGATCATCTGCTCTGACATACTCATTGATGGAAGACACATCAAGCTCAGTGAACCATATAGGAAGACCAAGAATACCCAACTTGTCAAGGGAAGAACTCACAATAGGCCCTATTGGACTATCTATGTGACCTTGAATTCCAATTCCCCCAACTGGGGCACCTTGCTCTTGCAAATCAAGAATATGATGGATGTACTTATCTGGACATGATCTGGTGTCACATCCATCCTCAACATGATAATCATTCACAAAGAGTGTAGCAGAAGGGTCTAGTTGGTTTGCAGTTTTGAACATGTTAGCCCTTATGTCCTTGCCTAGCCTATCTTGGAAGAATGAACCATGCAGCATTTCATTGTTGACATCATAGTGACTGAACTTGCCCTTGTAGCGAGTCAGAAGGCCGTTTAGGCGGTTCTGGACAGCCGTCATCAAATCGTTTTTGTTCAGTGATTTGATCCACTGCTGAACTACTCCATCCACTTCCCAGAAGATACAATGACCACGAGTTTGTATGTTGTACTTCTGACACAGGCTTAACAGATCATCAGCATCCTTGTAATTTAAATTCCCTTGCTGTGGCTCGGTCCAATACCACTTCAACTCGTTTCCAAACACAGCCCAGTTAAAGTGCTTTACAATGAAGTTAACAAAGTCCTCATTATCAATGTTTGTTCTACTGATGCATGTTCCAATTGGGAAATCATTCTGTGTTTGTCTAACTTGCACAGAGGTGTTAGCGTAGCTGCCAGAGTCCAGCCCAGAGAATTTCAGGATAACATCTCGTTTACGAATCTGCAGTTCAGCAAGTCAGTATAAATTACAATATTTATAAAAATAATGCCACGCATCGCATATCTTATCAATCAAGAATGCATTATTAATGTAATGATAAAATAGTACAAGTCTGAAATATACTTAGCTTCATGTAACATTTATTTCCTGCATGGAAAATTATGTTTTGTTTATAAGAAAACTTATGCTTTTCAGTAATCTAAAGCAGATTTTAGAGATAGAGCAATTCATGAAATATGTGAGTTGGAAAGTCATACCGGACATAAAAAACTGGAAGGGGGTAAACATGTCTCAGTATCATACATCAATCAATCCATGGAAAAGTTAATGGTAAATTGTAAATCTATGTTTGGCACCATGCCTATGCATTATACTCTAGCGGTTATTATCTGCATATAACTTGTTCTACATATTTTATTCTTTTTATGTTCAGGTATAGCCGAGGGAAGGGTACTAAGCAAATGTTACTCATTCAAACAAATTCAAGTGCAAGGCAATTTTAGAAATTCCGTATGCTTCTGAAGCTATTCTCTAAAGACTAATAATGTGAAATATGGAGGAAAACTCAATCTCACCTTATCTGTTTGGATCTTTAAATATCTAAATCTTGCAGGTCTATCCACAGGAAAAATTTGAAGTCCAGCCACCATTAAGTCCACACCAGAAGCCGGACCTTGGACATAAACCATAACCTTTGATGGCTGCTTTTCAATTCTAAAGGACCCTCCAATTTCATGCCACATGTCATCAGAAACCTCAGATTGTCCTCCATTGACCCATTGGTTGTCAACACCAAGGGCAACATTCACATTCTGTGGCCCTGATGATCCTGAGCCAATCCGGACCCAAGCAGACACTTGATAAGTCAAAAAGAGTTTCACTTTATCAGTGATGATCTGAGCAGGACCCATCCATGTTTGTGTTCGATTAGTTACAAGGGTGTAGCGCCCGCTTAGGAGTTCATGAGGCCCTAGAGAATCTCTTGCCATTGGTGGAATTATATGTGGTGAACCAGTTTTAACACTTAAAGTGCAATTGCCAAGGGGAAACCATCCATTGGTGCCATCAGCTAGATTGCTGTTCTCAATTATATTAACCCCATAAGTAACATTCTGCGGAAAAAGTTCAACTTTTAGGTGCTTGGAATATAGAAATGGCACACAACCAAAGTATATTATGGCAACAGCTAAGCTCTTGTGCAAAACAGATTTTTCAGGAAACACTAGCATCAATGTTATCAAATTAATTTACAAAAGAAGAATGTTCCAAAGGTACAACCTTAACATCTGGTGGGGTTGAAGGAGGTGTTTTAGCTGCATGCTTTAAGACCAAATTATTGAGAAGAATGTCAGTGCCTGGAGGGGGGCCCTCTAAATAAAGGACCACTTTTGTTGGAGAACCATTTAGAAGGAATTTTCCCTGCATAGTAGCCCAATCTTTATCTGTTGCCTGCATACTTGAGAACACACCAGCTTTGTTCAGCAACTAGAAAAAAATCTCATAGGAGCATGCTAATATTATTATATCACTGAAACATACTACCCTAATTTTCTTTTATCAAGATTCAAGAATAATAAACTGTCATGTTATGCCAGTATTCCATGTGAAGTATAGTGATAGAAAAATAAGAGGATACTAACTTTGCAATGCCTATATACTGCTCTTTAAGGTCTGGTGCTTGGACCCACAAAGTAGCCCGTACATCAGCAGTAGAGACATTGTTTCCAAATATTCTAACTAATGCAGTGACCTCATAGGCCAGCTTACGCTGCACGCGTCCAGTGATATCTTGCTGAATTCCATTCCAGTTCTGTGTGCGTTCTGTTGCGGATGCAAAGAATTTCCCAGATTTTGGAACAATTTTCCCATTATTCATGGAATCATGCAACATAATCTTGCAGCCTCTTCCAGACCAGTTATTCAGACCATCATCAAATTGCGGGTTGATGATGATGTTATCATCTCCCACTGAAACACATGCTGTGCTGGTGGTCTTTTAAAATAAGAGGAAACAGGTACAGTTAATATGTTGAAAACATACAGATTTCACAAGACATATAGTTACACTAACAAATAATTATAGCAATTTCAATCTAACCATAGAAGAAATAACCAATGTACAAAAGCATGAGTTAGATATTTATCAGACTATTAGACTATGTCAATATGTAGAATTTCACAAGGAAATAACATTTCTTAAAATATACAACTTCAGAACAAACATTATTATTTGGAGTGGAACAGCTTATCTCTACTGATCGTATGAGTAAGTCAACTCCAGGAGCAGGTCCTTCCAAATAGAATACAACCCGATCAGGCATAGTTGACAATGAGAATGTCCCTTCCAACGTTCCCCAACTATCCTTATTAACAGAAGTTCTGTAGAAAATCATGGTAAGCATACAAGGGCGTTTTCCTGAATTTCTTTAAAACAAGGAAGAAGATACAATGAAACCACAAAACTTCCTACCTTCCAATGAACAAGTAACTAGTAGCTGAATTATGATATTCTAGCTTCAGAGTGGCTAGAACATCACTAGATCCCTGAGAAAGCCTGGATACTCCCACACAAGCCGAAACTGTGTAAGTGGAACCAGAGGAAATTCTGTCTGTGATGTCTTGCTCAAGGCCTTGCCAGCATTCCTTTCGGTCAGTGATAACAGCATAATTAACACCCAACTCCATTGAAATTCCTCCTTGAATACCTTTTTCAGCTGAAATTACATAGCCAGTGCAGGAATTGAGATGCCAAGAGTTCAGCCCACTAGAAAAGTCATGATTAAGTAAAATATTTGCACCCTTGCTCCCACTTGGACCAGAGATGTTTCCTGCCATGATCTGTAAAAGAAAACAATATCAGAAAACATCCTACAAAGAACTCTATGCATGGTCTATACAGGTTGCTATGTGTTAGCATATTGGGAAGAACTCTCCTAAATTTGACCTTCCATAAATAGCACAGGAGGAGGAGGGAAGGAATTCAACAGTTCCACTATTGATCTGTATGTCTTGTTTTATCTGCTGGCTAGCTTTATTTATTTTATTTTCCATAAGAAAACTTGAATCCCACCTACTTCTCCTTTCTTATACTACGGTCGTATTTAATTGGTTGCAACAATAGTCCTTGTTAGCTTGCAACTTAAAAGTATCTAACAAATTATAGTTTGTATAGTTTTACACAATTAAATCCAACACAAGAAACTGGACACATCTAAGTAGCAGTAACCTATAACATACCCTTCAGGAAAAAAACTAAATTCAGCAATGAAGTTTGAAATGGACATCTGAGAGGTATGATATCAGACTCCATCCCTTGCGAGGCTACCAAACTATGCAATGTGGTTAATGCAGGACAACCTTCCTTAACGAAAGGAATAAGCTAACTAATCAAGGGGTAGTAATGGATAAAATTAAATTAAAAAAATAATTAGTTTAAGAGTTTATTGGGATAAATTAAATAAAAAGATAATTAAAAATTGGTTGAAACGTTTTGATATTGATGATAGTGGGGTTATTATTTGATTTTGGGAGTTTTATTTCCTAAGATAAGACTAGAGTTTTGTGACGAATATAAATAGGCCATTGTATTCCTTGTTAACATATGACAAAGAAATCAATAAAACTCATAAAAGCAAATATGTATCAGGCACGAGCAATTCATAACTAAAGAAATATGAATCATTAAGCAAACACAATGAGATTCTGCTTGTGAAACTACCCTCAGGGTTAGGATACCTGAGACTGAGATTGGTTATGCTTCCTGTGAGCGTCAAACTTAGATTCTGCTTGTGAAACAGCAGGCAGAGAACCTCTTCATTATATACCCTCTTGCTTAGGAAATTTGTGAGTGAAGGCTACGGATAACACTGGGGCCAACCAGCAAACTTGATCCTTCATTTGGATGCTATTTTTATCCAACCTTTGAGATCAAATGAATTTAATAATCAATCAACATTAATATACCCTTTCAAAAAAAAAAAAAAAAACCTAAAAAGTAATAAACAAAAATTAGCTATCTTGAATTTCCTTTAATCCTGCCTCTTCTCTTGCATCATCACTATACTTTTTGCTTTATCTCGCAGATTAGTGATGCTTGAATTGGAATGGAAGCCTGAGTAAGGATGAAGGGTCGGAAGTTAAGGATGAACGCTTAAGTTCCTTAATGGAATATTAAAAATCTGATCCACTTGGATGAGTCTTAGATTGCAAGATTTTGCAGTGTTAGGTGGAAATAGCTTTTCTATCCGTAATTATAACACAATAGATGCAATTTACTACGTATGTATGGACATACAAACTAGAATGTTGCAGATATCCAAGACACAACAACACTATTGCTACTATAACACAATCTGTACACCATCTTGCAACATTCAAGTGAAACCAAAATCCTAAACCCTATGTTTATGTCCTTGTACTATATTTTATGTGAAGGTGCAATTTTAGCAAAATAAAGTCCAATTGAGATCATCAATAGTCAATTCAAATTGCTCACCAAACACACATCTAGGTAATGAAAAAGTACACGAATACGCGTTGAAATTACAATTATGATTATAATAAGATTCTGCATTGTTCTTAATCTTCCAAGTAAAACCACGTTTACAAGAGTTATATTGTAAGTTTACAATAATAGCTTGTACATTCGTGAATATTTGGAATTATGCTGTTGAAAATAAAATAATAAATGATGGGATATGATATGAAGCAGTAAGTGGGTGTTACCTAAATCAAAATGAACTAGTTGTTTGTGTGTCTCCGGTTCGGTCCAACAAGAAAAGGAGCGGTTCGTGCGATTAGGAGATGGTGCTGCTGTGAGAGACACATCATGGTACTGTGACTATGAGAGTGGTCCATTGAGTGAAAAACGCTGCGTTCCATAGTTTCGGGAGATTCTGATTTGGGAGCGCCAGACCGAAGACAATTTAATTTACTCGAGAATATGCGCGATCTAACAGCGTTTTGCAAATTTTTATTTGTAAAAAACCAAAAAAAAAAAACGTTTCTGACATGTATATAGACGATGAAATACACACCCAAATCCATTATATACTGTAAAGTAACACATCCTAGTTACGGAACAAAATTTATTGGAATATATAGAAACTTACTGTTGTAAAAGTCACCCTAAATAATGACATTAAAAAAAGACATTTTTATTGTGTATTTCAAAGTATACACTGGAGGCAAGCATATATATATATATATATATATATATATATATATATATATATATATATATATATATATATATATATGATAAGAAATATTTTTATGCCTATATTTTTTTTTAAAACATAGCGAACATTTAGTTTCATTCCATATTTTAACATGCAATAACATTTTGATCAAGAGCATTTTTTATCAAAAACAATTATAAATTGGGAATGAATTTGAAATAAAGGGGTAAGAACAGCATGGCCTACTATCTCTTTTATAAAATAATCTCACCATTGGTAATTACTTATGACAGTTATTTGAATATTTCTTTTTACTGTATCAAAATCTTCATTTACCCGCTTTCTTTTTGAAATGGATATTCTCAAAAAAATAATTTTTGAAAGAATACATAACTATTATTTAATATAGAGTATACCTTTCTTGATTTATTATCTTTTATTTAAATTAGGTATTAAGAGATTTTATTATCTTTTAAGAGAGAATATAAAAAGATATTAAGTTATTATTTTGATTTAGCCAGTTATGATAGAGATATTATTGATATGTGATATTTTGTAATATTTTTATTCTATATATACATAGATTACATGAATAAAAAATATACACATATGATATATCAGAACTACACATATACAAAATCCTAAAAACAAGCGCAAGAGCAACGAAGATTGATGAGAGGAGATCATGCTGCTGGTGAAGGTTCTTTACTATATCATGATAGAGGCCTGATGCGAAATGTCGAAAATGTAGTTAATTAAAACATATAGAAAAGATATGCAAATCACAACTAGAAGAAGCAGTCAAAATTATAGAGAATGGAGTAAAAGGGGAACTTCTTCAAGTTATAGAGGATGGAGTAGAAGGAGAACTTCTCCTTGCATCAATATGTTCTACAATTAACAAATCCACATATTGACTTATAGACCGTGTTGTACAAATCACATGACTCATGATCAAGACTCATGATCAAGAATTTTTCAAAGAGCTCAACGAATTACATATTTCTAAAGTGAGAATCGGTAATAGAGAACAAATGGACCTGAAAGGTACAAGAACAATTGCAGTTAAAAGTCATTCGGGTATCAAATTAATTTTTTATGTTTTATATGTTCATGATATTAATCATAATTTGTTAAGTGTCTTTCATTTATTGAAGGAAAATTATAAGGGTCTTTTGAACACAAACTTTGTGTGATTAAAGATACAAATAACTTATATTCAAAGTTCATATGAAAAGAAAAAGTTTCACTTTAAATTTGATGAAAAAGAGTTGATTACAAACAAAGATATAAAAGGAAAGTCAAAGAAAAAACATGAAGAAAATTTCTTGAAGGAACTTGATGATAAAAATATAGATGAAAAAACCGTTTTCAACGTCCATCAAAGAATCAACATTACTACCATAAAGTTTGAAAGAAACAAAGGAGATAAAGTTGATAAATGAAGAAATACTTTGATGAAGAAAATAAAGTTGAATGAAAATATGATCTCATACAAAAAGAAAGATAACAAGAAGTACAAACGAAAAAGAGGAAAAATTATAACCAAAATAAAAAAATATCAAATTCAAATAAATAGATATTAAAATAAAGAGGGATATTAAGAATATTACTTTATTAAATTTTATTTAAATTAAGTATTAAGAGATTTTATTATCTTTTAAAATAAAAAATAAAAAAATTGAATTATTATTTTAATTTAAACAATTATAATTGAGATATTATTAATATTTAATATTTTATAATATTTTTACTCTTTATATACATGAATAAAAAAATACTCATATGATATATCAAAAATACACATACAAAATCCTAAAAATTCCCATCATCGTTTCATTAGTTATAAAGAAACAAATTAATAACATAAGTCTTTGACAAATTCGAGAATATTTTTTTGAATAGCAAAGCATACCTTTGCCTAAACTATAAAATGCTAGTTAACAACATTTATTTTCCCTTTCCCTTTAGTTAATTAACAAATTGCATCATGCAATTACGTTCAGACTAAATATGATGACATAAGATTCCAACTAATTCTCATATGAGATGGCATTGTTGCCACAAATCGAAGAACATCAGGCTGCTGGCTAAGTGAACTGTGTAGTTCTTCTGAACGATTGTTCAAAACATGAAGAAAGTTGGCAATGTTGGGGAGCACAAGTTCTCTGCAGTGAAGATGCAAAAGTGGAACCTTTGATAAAACACTTCCCTTCTGAACATCTAGGCCTTCTGGCCTCCGCAACTTGTATGGTTTTCCAGTTGTTGGTTCGATATCGACTCGCGGCATTTGTTTCCATCGGCTGTGCACAAACCAACCATACTTGTAGTCACCCACTATTGGTGTGCCAAGAGCTTCAGCGCAATGGACGCGCAACTGGAAAAGGGGAAGAAATCACATGAACTATCTGTCTAAAACGTTACTCGGCAAAACAGAAATATATCCAACAAGGGAATCGTTTCAAACTTAACTGATATCTTAAACTTACCACATCAGGGATGAGATAATTTTGAACAATAAAGAATTCATCATGCGCTTAACAAATAGAGACTACAAAACTGCTATCAAGATACCTGATGTTTCCGGTAAGTAAGTGGACGTAGCTCTACCCACGAGCATCCATTTATCTTTGGACCAAGCACCCGATATTCGGTTACGGCCTCTTGACGTGGTTCTACACTTGAATGGTGAGCTAGTATTATCCTCTCAGTCTTCCCATCATTTAGAAGCACCTGAAATAAGAAGGCATACAATTAACACACTGGAAGATAGCAACCACATTAAAAAAACATGTCATCACTGAATGTATCTAGAGAAGAAAATAAAAATGAGAGAGATTATACAACCTTAGAGAGCGGGGCATGAATTGTGCCTTCCTTCTCCTTGGGAGTCCCTATGACCAATGCCCAATACCTCTGATACGTAGCTTCACATGCATCATTCCAAGCCTAAAAGCAAAATAATGTTAAAATTCAAATGAAAACAGTAATCATTTGTTCAGAGTGTTTTCAAATATTTACACAAAAAAAAAAAGGAGTTCATTATTTCTTGTAAGGCACCTTACAAGAAGATTTTGCATTGTTAATGTTAGTGAACAACCATTGGAGATGAGATACACTATCTTTAGTTCTCCCCAATATAATTATGCCACTGCTCTCTCTGTCAAGACGATGAACCTGAAAAGGCCAAAAAAATAATTGGGTTCTCTTGTATTTTCAATATGCATCAATTATTTCTAATGAACAGCTTCGCAGTCCAAAACAGATTAATAGAGCAGAAGATCTGCAAAATTAACTACACCATGTGACATATTATGAAGAGAATAATCAGGAATTTAGGTTATATAAAAATCATTAAGCAACAAACCTCAAATTATAAAAAAGCCTTTCATTGATGAATGAAACAATTAAATTTAGTGCCATCAATATCTATGTATTTTTAAGTCTTTTCCAGTTTCAAGCAACCTAAACTATCAAAACAGTGACCATTAATTTCCACAAATTCCCATGCTAAAACGTAAACATCTTCCTTCTTATCCTTAACCACCTTGAATTGGAAATAGAGAAAATAAAAAAGAAGCAGAAATGAAGGCCATCATTCAAAACTAAATTAAAACATTCCAACTTTTAAATACTTGAGAATGGATATATGAAAAATCGATGCTTGAGAGACATAGAGCTCTCGGCAGCAGATTCATGTATTATATATGTGTGTGCACATGAATGAGTATTTGCACGCTGGGTGTAAGATCTAAAAACAAATGTATAAAGAAAAAATATATAAAAACTACACAAAGGACCCTAGCTGCTCACAGAATTTGTCAAGGATTATGGATTTATAAAGTCTTAGAAGAAGTCAAGATGACACTGGATCTCCCACTGAAATCGTACTACAGAAAGGCTGCAATAAGCAGTAGCTCACAACCCCGTTTAGCATGATAAAACAAAGATTAATCAACACTTTATAAAAGAGAAATCAGATGCTGGAAGTACCTGCTTGCCATCTGTGTCTTCTAATCTAATATAGACAACTGACATCTTGACCAAGATCCTAGAACAACCCCTTTTTTAGTGTTTGATAAGCAAATTGAGTATGATAGATATCTATACACCAGCTTGAAGAGGGGTGTAGGAATTAAAGATATTGCAAAATCAGGGATTTGATTTATTTTGATTTAAAAAAGAAAATAATCATTATTACCAGTTTTCTTTTATTTCCTTTTTATTCCTTGAATGAAGGAATAGACTTTAATGTAATATTTATATATATAGTAATTATACTGCTGAACATGTTAGGACTTAAATACAAGAGAAGAGTTCAACGCAAAAGACTAGTCCATTAGGTGGGCTGAAGTTCCATATCAAGTAGCTTGTCCTACTCAATGTTGGACTCCTACATTGCCACCCCCTTTAAGGGCCAAAATCCACCGTGCCTTCATTCTATTGACACTGACTGTAGCTCTTTTTTCTTTGATGGCTTCACCAACCTATCAGTATTTGGTTTGAACCTCAATTTATCCTATAGGAATCGCTCTGTAGTCCAACGCTGAATGAAACACCAACTGATAGGAGAACCTCAAGGCTTAAGTATCACAACAAATAGCTTATCCTACTCACTGTTGAACTCCTGACAAAATAATACAAGAAAGTTCTCTTTATTAGTTTCTACACACCATATGAATAAACAGTTTGCCTTTCAAATTCCAAAGAGTTTTAAGGTCATTTTCAATTCCTCCGTGGGCAGTGAATTCCTACCAAAAGGTTAAGAACAATTTGGTTGAAAGCATCAACAAGATTATGAATGGACTTACCTTCATATATTTGTATAGTATCTGATTGTTTCTTCAAGCAAAAAAATATTATGGAGAGACTTTGTCATGGTATTGACTTTTAAACTCTTCGCAGAGTTGTCAACAATCTTTTCACCAAAGACTTGCTTTAGAAATTCATCACTTAGCTATAACAATATTGAACAGTTTTTGTATAGACTGCTGACAATATAGACAAGCTTTGGAAAAAGCTTGAAAGTCAATATATGGCAAAGTCTCTCCATAACTGTCTTTCTCTGCCCGAAGAAATACTTAAGTACAATAACATACATGAAGGTTAAACCACTCATGAATATATTGATAATTTCAACCATACTACTCTTAGTTTGAGAAATATTGATGTTATAGTTGATAAGGACTGAGTTCTTCTTGTTACTTTGTCAAGAGCTTACTGAAATTTTATAGACACAGCAATTTTAGATAACAGTTCATTTTCCATGGAGGAAGTGAAAAACTTAGTCATCAGAATTTAAAAAGTGAATTACCAATTAATTCACATAGTGATATACCAAATCAAGTAAAGATCTTATGATTCATATGGTGATACCAGCTCAAGTGAGGATCTAAAGATTCATATGGTTATACCAGTTCAAGTAAGGGTCTACATCACACGATATCACACAATAGAAATAAGAACAATAACAAATGTAATAATTATAGAAGGACATGAGAAGAAAAAATATTCAAAGCTCAATAAAGACAGATTGAGTACTCGAGAGTTTATATCTCCTTTTTTAAACATAGAATATATTCATTGTCTTGGTTTCAATGATTGGACTATGCCCCAAATGAATCTATTCCTATTGATAGTTGGCTTGAAGGTTTTTCATCTAATGAGAAACCAGGACTAAGCCATGATATCGATAAAACCATTCAGAGTGACCACAGATTTTAATCTGTTAATAATTTTTTAAAAGTGAGGTTACAGTATATCTATATGAATACAAATCCATTTGCTCGAGGATGATTCATTTACTGTCAAGTATAGACTAAATCGTTGAACTGTAATTATGAACAAAAAGAGTTAGAGTAATTTACTAGTTTAGGGCCCTCATCATAATCATAGGAAAGTGCAGCAGCTGCCAACGCATCCATGCTATTATGAACTGGCAAATTCCCCTAAGAAAGTCATAAGCAAGAAATTAAAATCTCATAATAAATTCAGTAAGTGAATTACTGTAAATGTGAAATAATAGAAATTCAAACCTTAACCGGCAATTTTGGGGGTTTATTAAGCACAATAATAGCTGAGTCCTGAAAGTAATACATTTGAGCCAATACACAATAAATAAAATATACTTTCACGGAATTGAACAATAAGAATAGCTACAGAAGACTGTAAAAAATAAAATAAATTTGATATTAAATGAAAGGGTATACCTTGTAAATCATAAGCCTTTGCAGATACTTAATTTCGTCAGCATTTGGATATAGTGTTCCACTAGGAATAGCATCATATCTTTTGGAAATTCTAGTCTCAGCAATTGATACAGGTACGTGAACTCTGACACCATGTTTCATCACTTCATTAGGTCTAATCTGCAATTAAGCTGTACAGTTGTAGTGTTATTAAACCTAAAACAAATCTAAAGCAATTGACTAAAATCTATTATTGAAAAGCAGAGACAGACAAAGAAGAAATTACACAAAGTGGGTTTTTTATAGAAAATTATGAATTAACAGGATATATGTAGAAATGAATACCTTCCTCAAAGGTTTCATCAGCTTTCCTTTCTGAGTGTTAGAGTCAGCAGCAACTAAGTCTTCCATTTGCACCTAGATTAGGAAATTATCAACAAAGTCTGTAAGTACACTTTTCAATTATCATATTTATATCTGACCATTAAACATGAAATAAAAATATCTAATACAGAAATGTAGATCCAGCTATCTTGTTAGTTGTTCCAACTTGCAAAGTAAATAGAATACTTAAGTTTAAAACAGAGAGAAACTATATTTTGGAGGGCATAAAAAACCCTTCTTATGATCTTCTATTTATAGTAATAGAAAGCTGATACAATGGGAAGATGAAAGATCAAGAGTTTGCCCTAGACTTTAGACTCAAAACTAGGTACAGCTGATAGATATTCCTAACACACTATAATTACTCTAACATTCATAAACTGAATAATTATTCTAAACACTCTCCCCCCCGGGAGAAGCTGGAGCATACAAATTGTATGTACCAAACTGGGAACAAATGAACTCAATCTGGGGTCCCCTTAAGGGCTTGGTCAACATATATGCAATTTGGTCATTTGACCCAACAAACTCAGTACAAATTTCCTTGGACAACAATTTTTTTCGAATAAAATGACAATCAATTTCTGTGTTTAGTCCTCTCGTGAAATACTGGATTTGACGCAATATGGAGAACAGTCTGGTTATCACAGTACATCTTCGTGGTCTGGATTTCACAAAAATTAAGCTATCGAAGGAATTGTTTTACTTATATAAGTTCACAAGTAAGAGATGACATTACCCTATATTCAGCTTCAGCAGTTGATCGGACTACAACATTTTGCTTCTTAATTTTCCAAGAGATAATATTTTCACAAAGGAAAACACAATATCCTGTAGTGAAATAGCGATACAATTCTCGATAAATGTCGAATTGCCTATCATGAGACATTTATTTTAGCAGCCTATCAAAAACCTTTCTAAAGCGGTCTCCCGCTTTGAGAAAGATGCTTAACACATGCAAGTCGATCAGTTCTCCCTTAAGAAAGAAAGAAGCATAGAACATCTGTCAGTAGGGGAGCTTGCCCAACCAGCATCACAGTACCCACCCAAAAACTTGGACACTTCCTTTATCTTCATATAGCAAACCTTGTCCTGTAGCCTTTTTGAGGTATCTTAAAATACGAATGATGGCATTCTAATGGCCAATACATAGAGCTTGCACGAACTAACTAACAACTCCAACTGCAAAAGATAGATCAAACCTTGTAATAGTAAGATAAATTAGTATCCTAAGTAGCCCGCCTATATATTTTTGGATCAGGGAATGATTCACCTTCTTCTATCTTTAATTTTTAGTTTTGGTCCATAGGACTATCTATTGGCCTACAATCAAGCATACCTGTCTCTTATAGGATATCAAGAGCGTACTTTCTTTGAGAGATTACAACCCCATCTTTGGACTAAGATACCTCAATGCCAAAAAAATATTTGAGGCTCCCAAGATCTTTGGTTTGAAAATGTTTACACATGTACTCCTTAAGTTGAGATATTCCAACAACATCATTTCTTATAATAAATATATCATCAACATAGACTATTAGGTAAATGCATTTCCCAAGAACGGTATTACAATAAAAAATTGAATGATCTGTTTCATTGCAGTTTAGCCCAAACTTTTGAACAACTAAGCTGAATTTACCAAACCAAGCATGTGGTGATTGCTTGAGGCCATATAGAGAATGGCACATCCCACAAACCTTACCAGACTCCCCCTGAGTAACAAATCTAAGAGGTTTCTCCATGTACACTTTTTCAAGAACGCCATGTAGAAAGACATTTTTTACATCCAATTGATGTAGTGGCCAATGACGAATTGTTGTCATGGCAAAGAAGAGGCGAATCATATTTATCTTGGCCATTGGAGAGAAAGTATCACTGTAATCGTGACCATAAATTTGAGTGTATTCTTTTGCAACTAATCATGGCTTGAGGCGATCGACTTCACCACTAAGACCAACTTTAATGGTATAGACCCACCGACATCCAACGGCCTTTTCTTCAATCATGGCTTGTCGCCATTTAGGATGATCAAGTGTTTCATTCACATTTTTGGGAATAGTAATAGAAGACACTGAGGATAGAAAAGAATAATAGGAATGCGACAATCTGTGATAACTAAGGAAATTATAAATAGGATGTGGGTTTCGAGTGGAACGAATACCTATTCCGCGAACAATGGGCCATCCAGAATTATCTTCACTAGGAGTCGTGGTATTGAGTGACGATGGAGAGGTACATGAAGTAGAAGATTCACCTTGTTCCTGGATAACTGGATTGGTTGTTTGGGTCCCATGTTGGTGGATATCAATAGGTGGCGATGATGGTTCATGAGGATTTTGATCAAGATTGGGATTGGTTGAGGCACCGGACATATTGAACTCGACTAATGGTATAGGAAGAACCTACTGAATGAAATGAAAATCTTGACCAGATGAAGAAAAATAAGGAGTTTGTTTAAAGAATGTAACATGTAACATTAACAAACATGTAGTACTTTTTAGTTTCAGGAAAGTAACATTGATACCCTTTATGAAGTTGAGAATAACCCAAGAAGACATATTTGATAGCACGAGCAAATAGTTTGTCTAACCCTCGAGACATGTCATGAACAAAACACACACAACTAGTGGCGGATCTTGACCATTGATTCTGGGGGCCAAATAACATATTATTAAAAATAATAAATAAATATAAAAGGGTGAAAGAAGATGAAAGGGTGAGAGGATAAAATTGTAAATGTATAAGTAAATATATAAAATAATTAAGTTTGAGGGAGGCAAAATCATAAATTATATGAGAATTACAAAACTAAGGAGAGGCTGAAAGGATAAAATTGAAAATATACAAGTAAATATATTAAAGTTTAGGGGGCCAAAATTATAAATTACATGGGAGTTACAAAACTTTGAGGGGGTCACGGCCCACCTTAGTTCCCAAGAAGATCCGTCACTGCACACAACCAAATACACGAGGAGAAGAGAGAATTATTTGAAAAAAAACTGGAAAAAGGAACCTTATTATTGAGAGAAGAGGATGACATCCTATTAACAAGAAAACAAGCAGCTAGGATGGCATCCCCCCAATGATGGACGGGAATGCTAGCACCAAGCAAAAGGATACGAGCAATCTCAATTAAATGTCTATTTTTCCTTTTTGCTATACCATTTTGACGTGGTGTGTGAAGACAAGTGGACTTATGTAACATACCATGTGAACTTAAGACTGCAGAAAAATTAGATGAGAAGTACTCTTTGGTATTGTCACTTCTTAAAATTTTAATTACTTGACCAAACTTATTCTTGACTTCATTCAAAAAAAGATATGAAGATATGTAACAATTCCCAAGTACATCTCGAATATTCATCAATGAACGTAACAATATACCTAAAACCAAAGGATGAGACACAACTTGGTCCCCAAATATCAGAATGGAAATAGAAAAACTAGAATTTCACATTGATTCAGACCTTTTAGGAAAGGTAGATCTAACATGTGTTTCCTAGTTGACAGGACTCTCATTTTAAAGTTTGGAGACTACAAAGCTCAAGGACCATTTTTTTTAATTTTGACAAGTGGGGATGGCCTAACCGATCATCTAACAATTTAGGACTTAGAGATGCAATACAAGATACATGTGAACTAGATCCAAAATGGTATAAACCTCCAGTTTCATATCTTTCTCCAATTCGTTCCCCAAAACCACACTCCTGTGTAACAAAGGACTTGTCATCAAAGGTTATTGAACAATTAAACGTTTTGGTTAATTAGATTAATGAAATCATATTGAAAGGACAATTGGGAACAAAAAGAACAGATTTGAGATTTAGGGAAGGAGAAAGGGAAACTTGACATACTCTCTTTAAGGAAATTTTAGAGTCATTTGCCAAGGTTATGAAATGATGATTTTTTTTAAAAGAAAGAGATGAGAACAAGGAGGTATTATTAGAGATATGATCAGAAACACAGAAGTCAATTATCCATGAATTTTGACCTTCCATGGATTGGGAAATGCAAGATTTTAACCTCAAATACTATTGATATTCTTCATCAGAAAATTTGGATTCTGATGTTTCAGCCTTAAAGACATTGGTTGTCTTGTTAGGAATGCCGTATAAGGAGAAACAATTTTCTTGAGTGTGACCCATTCTTTCACAATATGTGCACTAAGGACGTCCTCGACCACCACGACCATCTCTAATATTTCGTCCTCCTCTTCCTTTTGTGAAAACCATGATAGAAGGTTCCACGGGTTCATGAACTTCCTTGCTTTAAGGCGTTGAAACGCGAAGGACTTGTGTGGTTAGGCTTTCCATTGAAGGGACTTCATGACCCGTTAAAAGTTGATCTCTAATATGACCAAAATTTGGATGTAGAGCATGAAGGATCATCACCATATAGTATTTGTCAAGTTTCTTTTTTATCTCTTCCAAAGACTCCACCTCCAAAATCATCGTAAGTTCTTTAACTGCATATTGGGGTTCAATCATGAAGGACACCATATCATGATCAGTTTGTTTGAGAGACGCAAGCCTATTTGGAGAGTCGTAAAGACGTTAAATATCATTTGCAAAAATGTTTTGAGCTTTCTTCCAAAAAGAGTTACAGGTTTTAAAAGCTCTAAAGGTATCCAATAATTTTGGTTCAACAAGCTGCCATAGCAAGGCACACAACCGGAAATTAAATTGTTTCCACTATTCAGCTTTCTCAAGAGGCACATTGCTTCCATCTTGTTCAAGGTGGTCATGATAACCTTGGCCAAGAAACCACATTTCAACATATGCGGAGAGAGATAATTTTTTCCATTTAGTTTTTCAGAAGTAATGGAAGGACTTCCAGAGGATGAGACAGCAACTCTAGTAGACATTTCTGACAGGGAAGAAGAAAATAGCAAGGGTGGACGAAAACCCTAAGGTAACCTTCAACTAGGATGACTTTGCACCTTACCGAAATGAAGTTTAAACAGACAAAACGGAACCAATGAGTTCTGATGAGACCGGTGATGGTGGCATGATGGAATTCCGACGAGAGGAAGGTGGCACATGGCTGTCACACGCCTAGCAGCAACAAATAGAAATTGAACGTGTGGCGGTGTGTGGGGTACGATTAGCCTCCGGTACCGACGGGGTTGGCCGTAACCCGGAGAGACGCTTCAGATCCGATGGTCACCGACGAAAACTGCATGGCAGACGACGAAGGCCAACGACGACAGCCAAAAACAAATGATGGTGAACGGCAACAAAGACTATGCCGAAGATGACTGAGACCAGCTTAGCGGGATCGACCTAATACCAACTTAAGTTTAAAACAGAGAGAAACTATATTTTGGAGGGCATAGAAAAACCCTCTTATGATCTTCTATTTATAATAATAGAAAGTTGATACAATGGGAAGATGAAAGATCAAGAGACAGCCCTAGACTCTAGGCACAAAACTAGTTACAGATGATAAATATTCCTAACACACTATAACTACTCTAATATACATAGACTTAATAATTATTCTAACAAGAATTTTATGAGAACCTCCCTTGGAGTGTCATAGCTGATGTGATCTTGGATAGGAAGTAATTACTTCAATCTATGGATGAAGATAAAGAGATGGAGGCAAAGTAAGAAATCTACAAAGTTAGGAACTTTTAAATAAAATAGATAATAGTTTGCATGTAATAAACCCATTTGTTTGGGTATAAGGTTAGCTAGGAAATAGGATAAGACTTCTCCGTAACCTTGTGCTTGGTTATATGTACAAGAGGAGTGTTTGGCCTATTGCCCTTTCCACATGTCTCCTATATAAGGAGTTTCTTAGGTCATTGTCTAAACACTTTGCTTTGGAAAGAAAAGTCATTTATATGCAATAGCCTTATGTGCTTGAGAGAAGTGGAGAGCTTCTCTCTTTTAGATTCTAATCTTGAAAGCACAATATTTCTACTCTTTTCGGCGCTTCCTCCTTTCTCTTCTATTATATCTAACAATACGTTAATCTTATCATCGTTCAGCCTTGTTTCTTCTCTCTATGGGCTGTGCATACCCACCAAAGCTTTGGCCATCCATGCACCAACCAAACACCATCCATATTCACCAAAAGCACCTCCATCCTACTCGGAATTCATTTCTGAATACAACCACAAAGAACACCTACAACTATCAAGATGCAAGCAATGGAAAGAATCGAACCTAGAATGTTATCACGTGCTAACTCTTAAAGACTTGGGTCTTAATCTTCATTCTTACCATATGTTCTAACTTCTATGTTCGCACTAGAGCATGGAGATTCAACCTCTTACCAATTCTGCCAGAAACGGTCCTAGTAAAAATTGTAAAATCAATTTAAGGCATTCTTAAGAAGTAGGTAGTAAATTAGGCAGCACATCAATGTTATCAATTGTGGATAGCGGAAAATGGAACAAAGCCAATAATCAAAGTTGAAATGTATGGTATATGTGTATATAAAAATAAGTTGTACATAAATAAAAATTGGGATTCTATTAACTCAAAAGTTCAATTGGCTGCAGACTTGTCAGAGATGACAAGTGGATGCAGGATGCAACCTGCAACCATAACAATGATAGCGACTGCAATAGCACAAAGTTGCAATTGTGGATTTGAGAAATTTTACTATGTGATAGCACTATAGTGCCTATTTAACAACCTGCAGCACCTAAAATAAAATGAAAATACAATAACGTAGTAGACACTTACAAGACCCTCCCTGAAATGGGATTCAATGACAGAACCCCATGTACCCTTGAAGTAATACTTAATCCAATTAACAGCAGTAACATACTCTCGCTGTCCTGGACCACTATTTGAGCTCTTGGCAGGCAAGGGGTGACTAGGAAAAGGAGGCAATGATAACAGCTGTCTGGGTTTTGGACCTTCTTTAGGGGCATCCAGGCGGGCAATATTGTTAGATACTCTGATTACTGGTTCAACAGAAACAGGCCTTGGGGGTTGAATTCTAGAGTAGTGCCTCACCACAAACAACATCCATGAGCAGCTATTATTATTATTGCTCACATGATTGAACATCTGTAGCCAACAAAGGAAAACACAAGTCATTAGTAGAAACAAATGGGCTGATGGGCTCTTATTTCTTTAATCAAGATAGAATGTTTCAACAGTAATCACGTTAAGAGCTACAATCAGTAAAATGGTAAAAATTGAACCAGAAAAAATTGAGAGAAAAATAGGAAGGGTTTCATTGCTAACACCATCAAAAAGCCAACCCACCCTCTCTCATCTCTAACCCGTAGGGAAAAAGAACAAAGAGAGAAGCCCACGGGGCCTTATAAGTTATGGCCAGACCATGGGCCTGCTCACTAAAAACTATACCACTTTTATGTGGACTAGCCCTAGCCATTCCCATGGCTGATGTGAGTGTGGAATTCAAAATACTCTTGAATTGATAACCAAATTTCATATCATGATGCATTTTTTCTGATGACACATAAAACCCACGGTTAATGTTTTAAGTTAGATAACAGTTTTTTTGTGAATTCAGAGTGTCGCATTTTGATTATGATATTAAAGCAACATGCATACGTAGTTAAAAAATCCATGATGTTTCAACATACCAGACTAGTTTCAATCTCAAGACACGAAATGTAGTATCTACAGTAAGTCAAATCTAAACAACAATGAACAAGTTGAAGCAACCTATACAGAGTACTCGTCGGCCTATCCCCTAATCATCTCTATATCTGTCTCAGAAAATTGTTACAAATCACCAGCAGTAATCAACTACTAAGTAGCTTATGAATAGCCTACACAAATTCTACACTATGGCAAAAATAGTGTACTTCAAAACATCAAATTCACACATAGCCATCAATAATCAATTTACGAAGCACGTAGCAACAACCAAAGAATACTTCAAACAAAACAACATAACGCAGCTATTGAGCTATATCAATAGCATTCAATTCAAATTTCAGATTCCAGACCAAATACTCACCACTCCGGGAAACACGATGAATCTTTCAGTGTTCTCCTAATTCAGGTCCGACGGTGAACCGCAACGCCGGCGGTGACCACTAACGTTCAGGGCGGAGGAGGAGGATATCGATGTTGGTAGGTCTAAGAGTGTGATGACAAGTTTCAGCGTTGCGTACTTGTCGATGTAATGCTGTGATGAGTTAGGGTTCAGTGCAATGCAGTGATTGCTGAGAGTACGCGTTGCGCCGCCGAGCGGTGGCTGACGTGACGGAACCGCGTCGTCTGAGAGAGACGATGATTAAAAAATAGTGTGAATGTCTTCAATTTCAGGGTTTGGGTTTTTTTTTAACAACCTTCGCTTGAATATATGTACGCTTAAGCGACTGCGCTAACAAATATCCCATACTCTATGAACTATTTATATAATTCTTTATCCACCTTTTATCGCACTAAAGGCATTATTTCTTTCAATTTTGGATATCATTAAACCAAGGAAAATGGTAAGAACCCATTCTTTATTATATATTGAGAACCTATTAATAATAATATATTTAAATGTTAATATAATAATAATTATTATTACTATTATTTATTATTATTATGATTTATTAGAATTTTATGTATATATTAATTTTAAAATATAAATATTTGTTAAAGACAAATAAATAACCAGAAAAAAATGAAAAAGAGTGGGTAATTGAGAAAATAAGAAAGAAGTAACGTTTTTTATTATTTTGTATTTAAGAGAAAAGATTGAAAAAAAAATATGATTCAAAGAAATAGAAGAAGAAAGAATATAACATCGATATATATGATTATTTTCTTATCTATCTCATGACATAAAAATCGATTAAAAAGGAAATTACTATTGGATATTCATATATAAATATAATTGTCAACTAATTTTAAATAAAAATATTGTCCACTCATTTAAATCTAACTAATTTTTTCATTAGAAAAATATAAAAAGATTATAAATTAAAACTTATTTAGGAATAAATTAAATATTATAAGATAGAAGATATGTTTATGTGATATATCTTTCGCCTTGTTTTGCAAGTAGTATTTTAGGATTAGTCCTCTCATACATTACTCAACATTTTTTATGAGTGGTGTCTTATATTGGGCTAGAGGCATTTATGGAGTGAGTGACAATTAGTTATATCATTCAATTTGTAGTCATATACAAATAAGTAGTGAGCTCTAAAAACTAAATAACTTTGATATTTAATTATTTTCTGGTGAAGAAAAGTTATTAGACTTATAGAAATTACTCTAGGGACGAGTACGAGACATCTTTATCCATCTTTACCACCTTTTCTTATTACATTTTTTTATTCTACACATATTTTGCATCATATATATATATATATATATATATATATATATATATATATAGAGAGAGAGAGAGAGAGAGAGAGAGAGAGAGAAGTATCTTGGATTTGTTAGGACTAAATGTGTAAGTGGAGATCTCATCTCGACATTGACACAATTTTATGATCATCCTTTGAGATATTTTACATTTTGTGACTTCTAATTAGCACCAACATTAGAGGAATACAAATATATCATAAAAATGTTATTAAAAAATAGCAAATGTTACAACTATTAAGGACTTCTTATGAAACCAATGACATGTTTGTTTAAGGTTTAAGAAAAAAGGTTTAGAAAGGAGGAAAATAAATATAAATGCCATAGATGGGTTTCCACAAAATTATTTAGTGGAAAGGATAAAAGTCTTGTCTAAAAATAATGATTGGACTTAACCTTTACAGAAATTTTCACACTCACTGTCTATGCAATTTTCTCTTTCCACATCTAATAATTATATAGATTTTTTGACTATAAATGTGTTTTTGTCTTTTTAAAATAGAGGAGAGAAACTAGTGTTGGTTGTCCTAGCATATACACATTGACCTCTAAATTTTTGTTATGGAAAAGCATAAAGAAATTAGTTTGTTATTTTCAACTACTCTACATGTGACTCACCATTATTGTATATATTTCAATAAATGCAACTCATCATCCCCTTTTACATATATGAAATAGAGTTGTGTGAAATTTAAAATAAGGAATGAATGCAATTTTTAGCATATCTTAATGAGAAGTCAATCCATTGGTTCCCAAACTATAACAAATTTGAAGAAATAATTTATTAGTGTGGGAGTTTTCCTAGTATACCATTTATAAGGACTAAAGGATGCATTAATTTTAATTTGTCCTTAGCTTTGATATAGTTGGATTATCCTATGTTGAAACTTCTTACAGAAGAATCAAGTACATCATTTATTTATGGGATGAATCAGCTAAGTTCAAAAGTGCTTTGAAGAGTGACATATGCTTGGGGAAAGATTGTTAGGAAAGGGAAAGAAATAGGAAAAAATTGAAAGCAATGAGGGGGAGATTGATGACAATGTGAAATATGTCCCTACATTCCCAAGAGATGATTTTGATGATGATTAAGTCAATAACATTCAAGACTCAAGCAAGCCTAAGATATGATTTGATAAAGATTCAAGCAAGCCCAAGATGATTCCTGAAGACTAAATAGGGTCTTAGAATACTAGATATAGAGGTACAAGTTGATGAAGTAGTATTATGCATAAGCCTCCAATTGGAGCATTGTAATGGTCAACATGAGTGGCTAACTTCATTCTCTTAGGATTCGGTGCACTTTCTTTGAACTCTTTTGTATCATGGTGATATTTTGAGATCTTAATCTATGCTTTGATGTTGTTATTCTTATCCTTTATGCTTTGGAATGATTTATTCTTGATTGTTTGAGGTATGATTGGAAAATATATCTTGAACCCTAGATCACGGTAAGAATATTTGTTACGTTAATTGCCAGGAATGGAATGAATGTATCAATTGCTTAACACCCTAACCCTAATGCTGGAAAATCTGTTAATTGTGTGAGGAATAAACATTTATTAGGTTTTCTTATAAATTTCATGTGTGAGGAATCGACATGGATGATTTGAGTAGGTGGCATCAACATTGTTAGGTTAATTGACGTTCTTAATTTATATAACCATTATAAAAGAGGGATAAGGAAGGAAGTCAATCCTAAGTACCTTTAATTGATATTTTCTCAACAATTTACAGTTCTTTGTTATTTAATTTCAATTCAACTCTTATTTGCAAAACCCAATCTGTTTTAATCTGCTTAGTAAGCATAATTAGGAATTTTCATTGAAACTGTTCATCGTGGGATCGACTTTCATTTAATCGAAATACTATACTGCTATTGATAATTTTGGTACGCTTGTCAATAATTCAATTAGTATTTCTGGCGCCGTTGCCGGGGACCGGTGTTCTTTGAGAATTCTTTGTTTAGCTTATTGAGTATTTTATTTTTATTTCTGTTTTTATTATTATTATTATTATCATTATTATTATCATTATCATTATTATCATTATTATTATCATTATTATTATTATTATTATTATTATTATTATTATTATTATTATTATCATTATCATTATCATTATTATTATTATCATTATTATCATTATTATAATTATTATTATTATTATTATCATTATTATCATTATTATTATCATTATTATCATTATTATTATCATTATTATCATTATTATTATCATTATTATTATTATTATTATTATTATTATTATTTAGTTTTTAGTTTGTGCTAATATTTGCTTGAGTTACTCTTTTGATTTATGCGTTTAAGAGGACAGTATCTTCGAACAATTAGAATTTAATCCAGAGATTGAAAAAACAATTCGGAGGAACCAGGGTAGAAGAAGAAGGGAAACTCAAGAACAAGCTACAAGAGAATCTGCTAATTCTTCTTTCACACTTGATTTACCAGACCCAATTATAGAAGATATGGCGGAAGAATGAGCAAATCTGAATCCAAATCCAAATCCAAATCAAAACCCAAATTCAAATCCACCTAGAAGAACTCTTAGAAATTGTGCTATGCAGCAAGGTCCAAGACATTTTTCCAGCATTGTCATTCCGGATGATCATACATTGCAGATGAATCCAACTTTCTTAAGTTTGATTAGTGCTCATCAATTCACTGGATTGGATCATGAAGACCTTTATATTCATTTGTCTACTTTTTATGAGTTGATTGGTACCATGGGATTTAGAGCAGCAAATCTTGAATCTGCATATTTGATATTATTTCCTTTTTCTTTGGCAGGTAGGGCAAAGGAATGACTGAAAGCACATCCTAATCAGAGTCTGACTAATTGGAGTAGTGTAGAAGAGAAGTTTCTGAATAGATTTTTTCCACCATCCTATTACATCAAAGCAAAATTTGACATCACTTCTTTCAGACAAGGAGCAGATGAACAATTTTGTGAAGCATGGGAGAAATTTAAATCACTGTTGAGAAGTTGCCCAAATCATGGATTTGATGACGTTTCTCAGTTGAATATTTTCTATACTGGCTT